AAGATAAACTATAGGGATTTCGGAAACAGGGGAAGAGAGAGCAACAAGAAACGCTTTTACATGGTATTTCTGGAGGTGAAAAAAAACACGATTTTTTTTATACATAGAATGTTTGATTATTCATTCATAAAACCAGATTTTCAAATACGGGCGTGATTTTTTCAACTTTTATAGATCACCTTTCAATTAATTGAAAGGGAAAATGCGGGAGAAATTATATTTCCGGACGTTTATGACAAAAAGGATTTTTTTTATATTAACAGTCAGAATTTTGCGGCATCACATTTTCTTCAACTCCAAAAACATAGTGGACTCAAATACACATCAATGTGGCAGAATTTCCTAGAATATTGATTCAATAAAAATTGGAAAAACTCATGTACTGCAACATTTTTTTAAGATTACTTATTCATCCGAACTGACCCCAACCTTTGAAACAGTTCGTTCTTAAAAAAAACCATAACGGTGAGAATTATTGAAATTGTCCCACTCTATACAACGGTATTGTAGGCGTTATTATATTTTAATATCAAGCAGTTGACGTCCGTCTGGAAGAGCATCTGACTATATAAATTACTGCGATTTAATTCAGTCACATGAATAAAATACAATAATAAGTATAGCTACATCAGCATACGAAAATAACAAGCCGGTGTCAAAATTATGCGATATCCATTCTTCTTGAACGTATCACTAACCTACACGTTTTTTACCAAGGTGTTGACAGCTTCTGAGAAGAGAGCAGATACAGGGCAGTTTCAACATACAAGCCGTTTCTTTTATCATGTGGTAACATTGCTATATTCTAAAGTGTAACAGATACGAAGACGATTGAATGGAAAAAAAAGGTAACTGTCATCGGGAGAAATACAATGGTCGAAGAAAATTCACGGGGACTCTCGCTCTTCTCGAGTTATACGGGGAAAACCAAATATGTTGTTTTTAGTTTTCTTCGAATGGAATTGTTATTTCGAAGGATATCAAAAAATGGAAAAGAAAAATGTCATTGTATTCGTAAGATAACAATGTAATAATAAATATTCGATGAAACTTTTCATGTCAACATGGCCACCATCAACTTTTTTTTTATACGGACCTGTCTTTTTATTACAGATATTGATAAAGCAATAAATTCACAATCCAAAGGTATATCACATTTCATTTTTTATAGCGTGTCATTTGAAATAACTATCATCATCAGTGACAACAATTTTAAATTACGGTCCTGTCGTTACTTCTTTTATAAATTGTTTCGATTTCTTCAAAATATAATTCAGACAACCCAATAAATTCGACAGGTAGACACCCTAGCACAATGAAAATTCGTACTTTTTCGTTTTGGAAATTTTTATATTGCCGTAATCCTTCTTTCAAGGCTTATTTCTCCTGAATCAATTATAATTCGTAATATTTTTATAATTCTCAATCCTGAAGGTAACGAAAATATCAGTTTTTGGTCAGAAATCGATTGTTGTATAATTTGGTATGATTAAATAGCATCTCAATTCATTTACCATCTTAAACGCGTAGGATTTGCTTGGTGTCTATGGCAGGAAAAATGAATGCATTGTTATGTCGTATTCCGAACATCCAAATGTTTAGACGATTAGAAAACAATTTGAGGGACTATGGTGCATTTGACAGAAAGAAGACAAGACAATGTGTAGTTACTGGAAGTGTGAGGAATCAAATGAATGTTATAGGTAAGCAAATATTAACCACATGAAAATTTACACAGTGAAAACATCTTTTTTTATTTAAGATTGGCCAGTTACAAAAATTATGATAATCAAGATTATTCTTTACGAGAAATTACCCACGAAATAGAGATTTCTGTAAAATCCATCAGAACTATTTAGAAATAGAACCAATATAAATGCAAAGGATACGCAAAGTTCATCATCTCAATGAAAGGGATTACGGAAGGAGAGTACAATTTGCAAAGTGGTTAAGACGTAGAAATAGGGAAGTTGGAAATAGTTGTAAAAAATAATATGGACGGACAACAAAAAATTCTATTATAGGTGGAATAATACAAATTAACATTTACATAGGGAAACCAATTTCCAAGAAAGGTTCGATGTTTGGTTGGGAATTTTGGGAACAAACATCCTTGCCCCTTTCTTTTACGATGATCATTTGAATGGTGAAATGTATCTTCATCTTCTATTCAATGAATTCGATGGCTATTTAGATGAATTGCCACTGAATATCCGCCGTGAAATACAATATTTCCAACAGGACGGCGCTCTTCCCATAATGCAGCAATAGTAAGGGAACATTTAGATACAATAATACCAAGAAAATGGATTGGAAATAATGGACCAATTAACTGGCTAGCTCGATCCCCAGATCTTACTCTTTTAGATTTTTTGTCTGGGAATAAATAAAGAAGTTTTTTCAACACCAACTACAGATATCGACCATCTCAAACAAAAAATAAGAGATGCATGTATTAGTTTTACACCTATTACGCTAAAAAACTGCCACAGAAATTGTCTGGACCGACAACTTATGTGCATTCAACAAAGAGGTCGTCAATTGGAACATTTAATGTAGATTACCATTTAGCTTTGATTTTCCGTATTGGTTTCATTTTTCCCAAAAGTTCATGATAAAATAAATTGTTTTTCTGTTTGATTTTTGTCACTGATGATGATGGTTATTTCGAATGAAACGCTGTAAAAATATCAAATGTGATATACCCTTGGTTTGTGAATTTATCGCTTTATCAATATCTGTAATAAAAAAGAAAGGGCCGATAAAAAAAAACTTGATGGTGGTCATGTCGACACGAAACATATAAACTTGTGTCCGGAAATGCTTCGTTTCGGAGATACAGGGTGTTGAAATTGAATTTTTTTGTTCGTTTTTCAAAAATGACTTGCAAAAAAAGTTATTTGCACGACATTTGGTACCCGGAGTTTTTTGACGTGGAAAATCATAATTTCGAACCTACTAAGACGACTGGACTACTTTGTATGTAGACCCGAAGGAAAGAACATTTCACACATCAAAACATCAAACACATGAAACATTGTATGCCAGAACTAAATATAAGTCGTACATTCCGAGAAATTTACGAGACATAATTTCATCGACGCACCGGAATTACTCCACATTTTCGTGAGTTATTAAACGATAAAAGTCCCTTCGCGTTTGTCCTTTCCTCCGTCATTACGGACCGTTTATAATGGAAAAAACGATCGACCGTTTATTTATTTGATGTTAATTCGTACCGTGTTCGACTCTGATTTGGTGCGATATAATAACAAACATTATTTTATAGCTTTTTCGATGATTTACGGTTATTGAAAATGCACCAGAGTCCGGCGAGAATACAAAGTAGGCATTGATTTTTTAGTTTTGACCCCCGAGTTTTATGGGCATGGGAGTATTTCACGGCTAACTTGATTGATCGATATCTTTGTAAAGAATTCACTGATCTTTGTATATATTTTTTAGGAATATGAGTCCCAAAATATATAAAGACTTTTGAGAAAGCATTAAAAGAGTATTTTATATATGAAAGTCACATTTCCTGCGAGTGTTATACCAGTTGGACTGAAAAAATCGTAGGCTAATATAGAAAAAAAACAATTTTTTTACAAAACTGTATTTCATTATTCAAAATAGTTGCCTTCGATGCGATCCAACCATAAAAGCGGTCACATAAGTTTTCGATACCATTTTTATGGTATGATTTGTCTTCAGCCTTAAAATAGCTCACAGTTTCGACGATTACTCCTTCATCGACGCTATTTTTTTTCCAGCGAGCATTATTTTGAGTTCTGCGAAATGCAAAAAGTCGCTGGGGGCCAGGTCTGGAGAATACGGTGGATACGAAAGCAATTCAAAATCCAATTCATGCAATTCTACCATCGTACACACGAAATTGCTTTTTCAATTTCTCCAAACTAACACACGGAAATATATGCTATTGAATTGTGTGCGGAGATATTTTTTTTGGTCTCTTGGAAGCTGTCCAACTTGCCCAACTCGTCCATTTAGCCCAAGTCTCTGGAAAACACTGCAGCCTCATGGGCTTATTGCGTTTATTCTCCCATCTTCTCATGACACCCATTCCATCAGTCTCGTTCCCTGTACTAGTTTGTACAGGTTCCGTGTTGGATATTCGTCATATTCTTCGGGGCGTAATTTTGTACGTCCATATATTGCTCCTGTGATTCAGTGCCTCACATTCGCATAAGATGTGTAGAGCTATTTCTATCCCTTCGTTGCATCTGCAGCTGAGGTCTCCGTTGTACAACCTCATTTTATTAGGTGTCCTCTAAGCGGACAATGACCGGTTAGTAACCTTGTAATTATTCTGAGCCGATCCCTACTATATTGAAGTAGTTCTTCGGTTCTTTTCTCGGACGGTACTCTGTGTGCTTCTTATTGGTCCATGTCCTAATATGGTTTCATTTTCGATGATTTTGGTACCCCCAGAGTTGGTTCAAGACCCATATATGAAGTTGATGATCCGTGTCTAGCGCATTCATCAGCTTTATCATTACCTGTGATTTCTGAATGCCCTGGCACCCAGTACAAAGTTAATTTGTTCCTGTTTGCAAGTTCATTCAATTCTTCATGGTATTCCCAGACCAGTTCTGTCATTGGCATTGCTTTAGGCTTCGCCAAATTAAGACTGATTACCTGGATGGTGTGTTCAGAAGCTAATTTGAATGAATTCAGTTTGTTTATTGATTTGTGTACTGGCTTTATCTCTTTGAGAAGAAGGAAAGCTGCAGTAAATGTGGGTGTCTTTCGCGTAGAGATGACCCGAAAACTTATAAAAACCCGTTACGAAACAAAATTTATATACTGTGAACAGCAGTGGGCCCAAAATGGATCCTTGCGAAACTCTCGACTTCATGCCTGAAATATCTCCTTCAAATTCAACTCCAGCTTATAGATTTCAACAAGAAATAGCTATAGAATTTCCAACAACCTCGCCGGAAAACTTAAACCTAAATAAAAGTCTAGGGATGACATACCTGACGCACCTGTTTGAACTGCTCCTCGAACGACCAGGTGTGCTGCGAGGAGGCGCTTCCCTCGGAGGAATGCGAGCTGCCGGAAGAGGGCGCTGCTGGTTGCGGCGCCATCGGCGGCAGGAAAGCCGCAGCCGGGTGCGGGAACGGAAAGGGGACGGGCAGCTGGAAATTATTCTCCTGGCTGGGCATCGGTCTATTGTTCATCGGGAAGCTCAGGTTTCGGGAAGTCTCGTAATCGTCCTGGAAAAGAAGATAGAGTCCTGGATGAAAATATTCATACGACTCTTGGTTGATACATAATCGATATCAACTGCTACTACAACTACAACCTTGAAGAAGGCAGATATAATATCATTATTTAGATAATAATGAAGGTTTTTGTTGGTGCAAATGACAACAATGACAAAATCCAAAAAACTCAGTGGCAAAACAAGATACAATTGGGTATCATCCGCATGAATTGAGATGTTTGTGTACAGGAGGCTTATGATATTAACATGTATGAGTAGAGAAGAGTAACGGGCCGAATATTGAACCTTGAGGTACACCTCGCAGGGATTCGATCGCCTCACAGTCTGGATTTTGGTATGAGTCATAAGTTATGAGATTTATGATTGAACTCCGGTTCCTCTGCGAGTTGAATTTATGTTTCCATTTCGGAAATTGTTCTCATGCTCTTTTATGCGTGCGTCGAATGTTCTTCCAGTTTGACCTACGTAAAGCATCGGAAACGAACCACATAACAATTCAATAAACTCCTGATCTATCTGATACCAAACTTATGTCTTTTTCATTTTCGAAATGCCTGCTCGACTAATTATAGGTTTGGAACGCCATATTCACACCTTTGCACTATTCATTTGGATAAGAAAGCTTTAAAACTTGATCTTCTGGAAAGTATGGAAATCAATAGGTATATACAAAATTTTTGAATATGTAATCAACGATCAAGTTGTGTTAAAAGGCAAAGCAAAGCAAATTCAACTAATTTTTTCAACAGTCCTGTTACACAGCTAAACTCCCAATGTAATTATTACCACATACGTGTCAAATGAAAAAATTTCTCACTACCAAATATAAAAGGAAAGTAATGTTAGTAGGTACCTGATAGAATGATTGATGATTGCTTACCCCCACCTTGATGTCCCTCACTTGCATTTTCAGCTTTGCGAGGACATCGCCGTGATCGGCGAGGAGGCCAGCGTGCCGACGCATCTCATCGCAACTGTCGACGTCGTCGTGGTCGCCGGCGTCGCTCATGTCTTCATCGTTGTGGGACTAGAACAAAAAAGGAAATTATTGAAACCTACAAAATAGAAATTTGGTTTTCAATATTGCCTGGATGTTATTGGGGGAAGTACTCAAGTCATTCGGGAAAGTACGGAGTTTCTAAACAATAAAATCCTAGGCTTTTTGAAACGTGTTTTCATAAAATTCACACTTAAATAGATGAAAACATTGTCTCGGTATCCGGGAACCAAAAAATAAACTTAACGAAACTCATTCACATCAACTTTTTTTTATGAAAATGACAATGTTGCCTTTTGGTACCATCGCACTTCATGAGAGTGGTCAATCCTTCACCTTCGGAACTTTTTCATATTCTTCTTGAAGGATTTGCAACGTTGTGGATTAGATAGAACGCTGAATTGAGAAGGCTGTTGATGTGAACCAGAAACAAGACCCGATGGTGCAAAATCTGAACGCTCTCGTAGAATACTGTTGATGGTTGATAAATCCAGAAATTGACAGTAACACTCATAATTTTAGTGGCAAGTCAAAGGATGTTCATAGGAATTGGTTTGGATGTGTCTTCAAGTATTCTGTCAGATATTTCCTACGAACTGAGCCACATACAGTTGATAATTGGCCAAATTAGATTTCTACGGAGTGAGAGGTGTCTGCCTGGACATGATGAAGTCATACTTTAACGAAAGATATCAAATTGTTGATCTAGGAAATACCAAAAGTGAAAAAATGAAAATATTAAAAGGAGTGCCACATGGGTCAATATTGCGGCCACTTCTGTTTATAATCTATATCAACGACCTGCCTCACGTTATGAACAGACATAGAAACTATATTGTATGCATATGATGCAACCTTGGGCGAAAAAAATATATAAAATAGATGATCCTCATATGATCCATACTGACATATTAGAGAAAGCTCGATCATGGTTCACACCAAATGACTTGATTCTCAATGAACAAAAAACAGAAACTCTTAACTTTTGAAACAATTTGCTTAAATTGAGATAACAACAATTCTAGCAAACTTTTGGGAGTACAAATAGATTCCAACCTGAAATGGATAGACCACATAAATAATATGTGTAGTAAACTTAGTAAGACGGTTTTTGCTATCAGAAGAATTAAAAAAATTGTAAATCAAAGTGCGGCACTTTTTTGCAACAAAACTTGTTGAATGAAGTTGCTCACAAGGATATACACCAACATGATACAAGAAATAAATCAAACCTTGTTCCTACAGCTAATAGGTTGAAAAGAACAGATAATATAGTAATTAAGCTATACAATGCCTTTTCTGCCGAATTTCGTAACTTGCCATTTAGAAGATTTCAAAAACTTATTGAAGAAAATATCAACCAAACATCCTTTATAAGAAATTGATCAATTTTTCGAAGTTATCCAAGAAGAAAGAGACATTTTTGTGGTCACCTCACGAACTTTTACTGCTATGTGATTTATAATTTGTAAAAGCTCATGGCTTTACATTTTAGTCAAGTCTTATAAGTTTGGAATTTTATCTTGTTAACTTGTATTTTTTTTGGAAAACTAAAAACTGTGTGTCTCTTGAGACTGATAAAAATTATTATTATTATTATTATTATGCGGAAAACCACACCACTTTGATGACCGAAACCATATTCACCACCATATACTTCACATATATGAGAATATAGAAACCAGAACAAGAAAATGGGTGGAAAACCTTTCATCTTATGGAGCAACATCGACTAGAATTGCTACTTCCAGCTGGAGGAATAATTTTTCCATCAAGAACGTTGAATAGTCAATGGGTTCGAAAAAAATCAAGGAATGGTTTCAAATGGTTGGAAAACCTTTCATCTTATGGAGCAGCATCGATTGAAATGCTGTCTAGCATTGCTAGTTTCAGCTGAGGGAAAAATTGTTCGTCAAGTACGTTGAAAAGTCAGTGAGTTCGAAACATTTCAAGAAATGTTTTGAAATTGCGTGAAAAAGCCCTCGTTTTATGGAGCAGCTCTTGTTTCAAAACTAGTTGCTTTGCAGTGAAAGCTGCAGAGTAAGGCACAAGACTAATTTCTTTCGGCGATCTACGTCAAGGCTTGGTTTTGCCACGAACTGGTTTTGCAATATTTCTCATTGATTTTAATGGTTTAACCCTTCCGTCGATTGCATACAGTGTGACCGATTCCACGTGGAAGCACCCTTATGAAACATATATTTCACAACCGATTAGAATTTTTTTCTTCGGGTAAAGATTCGACAATTCTTCCAGAACACCAAACTTCATGATTGTCTCGTCTTTTTCAGTGCCAACTTTGACTGTTTTTCAATGTCAAAAATCGAAAAATATTATTGAAGTGTAAAAAATTTGACCACTGGATTTCTGTAGTTTTGAATTGTTTTATGTCAAAACTACGTCGACATACATTCATTATTAAAGAAGTCACAAATTCTGAAAAATATGCCATTCAAGAACAACAGATTTATATGCTTATTTGAAAGAAGCTGTTTCTAGGGAACTTTTCTTCCAGTTTGTGTCTGAAAGTTACTTTTCTGATTGCTTCCTTTCTTTTTTTGGAAGATTCACACATTTTTTGTATAAAAATGGAGAAACAGAAAGCCAGAACCTTTCTTTCTCAATAATGACTCTCTCTTAAAAATATACCCCTTTCAATTCAAACAGATTTTCATTTAATTCTGTCCAGAATTTCATTGAATGAAATCTGTTCAACATTAGAAAAGTTCTAAATGAAGAACATTTCAAAAATATGTTGCTTGATGTGCCTTTAATTATATTTTTATTTATGATGTGAAAATGGTGATTAAATTCTCCTCAGTAATGAACGAAAATCTGCCTATCCAGTGGAGTAGTCCGAATTTCCACAAAAGATCTAAAATTGAGTTGATGCGATAATGAAATGGTATATTTTTTAAATTTTATCCCCTCATAACTTTTTCAATGACGAATGTAATTCTAACAAACTATTTATAAACTACCTGAATATCATTTTGTGAATTTGTTTTGTAAGAAAAAATTAAAGGAAAAAGGTGACATTTTTTTTTGAAATATCGTATTGAGATTTATTCGTTTAAAACATTCTTTGTCTAACCCTTTTCTAGGAAGACCATTACGAATTAACAGGTACTTATTGAAGTTTGACAACTTTTGACAGTTATCTAAGGAACAGGTAGTTATTGAAAACATTAATATTCCTCAAATCCATTACGAATTCAATTTCCTACCTGCCGAATAGAAAGTTTATATAATTTCAAGATTCTCAGAAGGTATGAAGGGAGGTCATATTACCTACTCAAGGTCATGACGTCAACATAATAACAATCAACAACTGAAAGTACAGTGTCACAAATGCTCACTTGACATTTCTGATAAATAAAAAATTATTCTTTCTCGGCCTGACGATATACATTTATTTCAAGAAAAAAATACCGGTGATGTTCTTATTTTACATAAATCAAAACCCTTTGTCAAAAATGTGACTTCTTAACGTTTTCAATTGAAAAAATTCACAATTGTGGTTTCAGACGACAGATTTATAAGTATAAGGAACCTTATTTTCGTATAATAGTAAAACCACAACTCTTTCTCAAGAATTTTCTATCAACTATGATGTTCTTCAAGAATCAATTCTACTACTTAGTCTTCTGTTTTATACCAACATCAATAACCTCCTGAGTATAAAAAGGGTCTCTGAATTTTCAACCATTATGAATCTTGAAACTACATTCTCTCAAGGCGACTATAAAATATAATGCAATGAATAAACAACAAGAAATTCATACTCATTTTTTACTAGAGAGAATAGCTAATAATTTGAGTTGATTCAAAAACGAATTTAATCTCACTGAGAAATTTTGCTCCTTGAAATTCAAAGAATTTTATAGACTTCCCTGTACATTCACAAACGTAACGTCACCCCCGTTTCATCGACGGTATTCAAAGAAGGGTAATTTTCTTATATTAAACCAAAACTAATACGACTTCTCTTTCATCGTATTACAAGTAATTGTATCTGCAAGATAATTAATCCAAGAAGTTATTTGATATCAGAATTAGGCGGATATGCCGATCCCTTCAATGATTGTAGAATCACTGCGTCGCTAGAAACACAAAAACATATTCATACAATTATTATTCTGGGAGAAGAAACTTCATATAGGGTAACGGTTGACGACTTAGGAATTAGAGAGTTAGAAATACGGTAAAGAGATATCTATGCATTGGATGATACATCATAGTTTTTATGGACAGATATAGGCACCGCTCTGAAAGCGCCTCAAGGATGTTCCTGCATTGTTTGTGTTTTGTCCATTAAAAAAAAGATGTGTGAACACTATTCCTAAAGAGCTAGTTGGTGAAAAACGGAGAGCAAACATTCAATAATTTCTTTTGAAGAATACTACTACAACTCTAATGAACTTTCATCGTTCATTTAAAAAAAATATGTGGGACAGCAGCTTAGAATCTAAAAAATTTTAAAAACAAAATGAAAAAATGATATTACTGATAAAATTTTCAGTTCAATATCTCCGATAATGATATTTAGCGTGTCAAATAACCCAATAAATATCACAGCAGAATTCTTTCACGATTTATATTTCCCGTTTTTGGAAGGTTTCCCTGCATATGCAGGCTCATATTCAATTATATATTAAGTCATAATGCAATTTTATCAAATTGGATTACACGACATGTAAATCAGGTGTATAAGATTTCTTACTTACCGCTATCGATCAAATTGAATCCTTAGCAATGTTTTCTTAAACCTCACAAGTTGAGATTCACTAACATTACTTTGATTTTTATAAGCAGATTTCGCAATCCACAACGGGGGATATTATTTCTAGCTTGCAGAGGGTTATTTTATCCCTATTAGTATTATTTTCAACCAGAGAAGTAATATCTCGAAATTGTTCGATACAATTTTGATTGGTTCTTCTACTCGTAAGAAAAATAGTTTTAATTAGCAAGAAACACTCTTTATCTAATGAAACCTTCGTAAATGTTGTCCATTGTGCTCTATACAA